ATTTTACAACAACAATACATAAATTAATAAGTTCCTTCATGTGTTTCCTAGACTTTTCCATTATCAACATAAATATCAAACATACATATATACATACATACATAACTCATTTTGATTTCTCCATATTTGGATTGGCAACCAAATGAATTGAAGGGGGACTTAATCACGTCCAAATCAAATCCATTCAGATCCCCAAATGGCAACACAAAAACTTCTCCACCAATAAACGAGAGGAGAAGATGGAGGCGATCCGATCCAACGGCGAAGAAGTCTCCACGTTTAGTATTTTTGGATTGTCCCCTCAGCAAGGCAACCTGGTTCCATCGGCACCGTCCAAACGGTAGCGCCAATCGAAAGGTTGCCTCGCATTCCACGCGGCGGGTTTAGGTGTTGCCGCGGTAGAATGCCACTGGTGGTGGTCTAGTAAAAGGAGACATTCTGCCGCGCTGCCTGCGGTATCACCATCACCATCACCATCATGCCCATCACCACCATCGTCATCCACGGATTCCGCGCCACCAAAGCGGCTATTTGGATGAAGTTCTATGGTTTCGTTTACGTTTTGGATGTAAAGGAGATGGAATTGTCTTCGCCTTGGCTCCCTCTCTTTCTGTAGCAATTTTCTTTCTATTGTTCACTTTTCTCTCGGCTGTTTACTTTTTCGTGTTTTGTCTATTTCCGCATTCCTTTTTCTTTATTCTTTCTCCCCCCTCCACGAGTGACCGAGTCCACGAATGGTCCCACTGCCCTGCTCAAATAAGAGCCTACATGAAACCCTGTTTGCGATGCCTACTTAAAAAACAATTAAACAAACTAAATGTGAATACCCAATTTTAGAAGTTAATTATCTGTGGCAATTCTGAAAAAAGGGGTTTTTGATGTGATAAAAAATCAAAAATAAAAACATATTTAAGACTTTTTATTTATTGGCTTATTTTTTGTAATAACTTGGTTACAAATGTTTGCCAAGCTTTTGTGTGTCTTGAGATTAGTTTTGATGGGCAAGCATATTGGAGTTCCACGTGTCAAATTATAATTGGTCTAAATTTTTGGTGATTTATTTTGGCAATAAAAAAAATCCACAAATCTTGTGACAAGATATTCATAAGTATGTGGCAAAATGATACATTTTGCATGTAATGTTATAGATTTTTTTATTTATCAAAAAAAAATTATTGCTTTCTATTGTATTTTTATTTGAAGAGAGAAGTTTTTTTGGTCAAAGCAACAAATGGGATTCAATTTGTATTGATTGAAACACACCCTAGTGGCCTCCAAATTCGGAAACTCTTGACATTGTGATTGTTTGTTCCACAAGTCTTACTTGCTATTTATAAAATTCCTTATTTCTTACAAAGACATGCACTTCTTTAATTTTTTATTTAATTTTTTATTATAAAGAATGTGCAAAGTGTACACTCCATCTCATGTTCACGTGATTTTTTTTCATTAAGTATGTTTGTCTATGTGAAAGGAAAAAAAACATGTGTACACAATCAACATCTATTGCTTGAAATTTATCTCATAGCATGCAAAATATAACTTGATAATCATAATTTCCAATTATATATATATATATATGTAGATATATATATATTATTTTTTTGAATTTCAAATTATACATGCTACTTCTCAAAGTCTCAATTCATAAATAATAACTTGATTATAAAAACAAACCAATCTTTTGACAAGCAATGAGGGTTTCAAATGTCATATTCACTCTTATTTTCTATATTTTCTGCAAATGTTTAGGTAATTCACAAAATATCACACAAAATCTTCTGTTGAAAGATTAAAGAAATGTAGTCAGAAACCATTAAAGCCATTGATGGTTACATACAGTCAAAAAGATTACTATTAGTAGTAAACGTAAAATTTATTTTCCATGTCAAAGAAAAACAGTAGTCCATAAATTTTAATACTATAAATAAATGAATGAAAATCCATTTCTCAGAATGTGAAGATAGTGAATTTCCAAAAATAGCATTTCAGAAGAAATCATCAATATTTTAGAATTTTAAATTAAAAAATTGAATAATTGTTGATTATTTTTATGAAGAAAATCATTTACACATGCACTTTGACTCATGCTTTTTGTCATACAACACTACAACTTAATTGTGACAATCTTCATTCCACAAATATCTTTTACGATATCTTTCACGAGTTGGGATTGACTATATAATTGAGGATATTATAATTTTCTTTTACAATCCATTATGATCAAGTAAAAATCATCTGATTTACCAAAAAAATCTATCTAAAAATTATATGGCTAACAATCAAGTAAAGAAATACACTCATTAGAAATTATTTCATTTATCCTGGTTATTGTTATTTTATTTGTATTAATATTAAACATAGATATTTGTTCCTTAAATAGATGGATCAATCTAAATAACACTAAAAGAAATCAACTTAGATATCTTAGTTAGTGTTGACATTAATCTACATCTCAAAGATGCATAATAATCGGCATATAAGTAAAGAGCAAAGAAGACCCTTATTTTATCCACATCATATTTTTGCCACAAATAATCAAAAAAAAAAAAAAAACAAAACAACAACAACAACAACAACAAAACATAGAGGTAGAAAAAAATGAATGTGCAATTACTATTGTTTTTTTTCTCCACACGTTTGGCTTTAGGTGAAATATGTATTTACTTCCATCCACCCCCATGCCAAAATATAAAGCTCAAACTTTAGTTTATTATTATTTGCAACAAATAGCAAGTAAGCATTGATTTTGGCATGTTTGTGGTACCTATATGGCTAATATTTATTTGCCGAAGGTTGACTACTACGTCCAACAAGGAATTAGAATAAATTTACTTGTATAAAAACTTTAGGTAGAATTTATGCAGGCAATAAAATACTCAAAAAAAAAATCTAATTCTTTGATGGTGTGTAAAATAATAATAACAACAATAATAATAATATATTCTAATATGTATTATTATATAATTGTTTTTACAAAATGAAAAGATTTTTTTTGTATGATTTTTTGCATTTTTTATTTATTGTTTACTTAGACGTTGGAAAAAAAAAAAAAAAAAAAAAAAGTGCTCATCATCAATACAAGAAATTTCACTAATTCATTTTTGTTAATTTTACTTATTTATTACTAAAACATAAATTATTCTATAAATGTATAATATAGTATATTTTTTTATGTCCTTACAACTTCTACATCCCACTTTGAATCTTTTTCTCAACAAGTCTCATAATAATCTTTAAATAAAGTAGAAATATTTTATTTTAAAAATTTCTAAAATCTTTATTCTTTGCATCTTTCCTTAAGTAATAAATAAAAAGGACATAAATTTTTTATCTTAAAATGATACACATATAATTTCATAGATAATAAAAGACACAATATGATTTGACAAACAGATTAAAACTTATGCAAGAAAAAATAATAATTTATTCTAAACTCTTGTTTTTACGTTAGTACATAAAATCTAAGTTCTATTAAAAAACTTATAATGCTTAAATAATATTAATAATCATAATAATAAGAATAAGAATAATTAATATCAAACTTGTATTTATTTATTTCTTTGTTTCATTTTTACTTCTATTGCTAAAAGTTACTATGGTAGCAATGGATGTGATGCATTTGAAATATTCACATGATTGTTAGCATTTATTACCTTTTTTATTTTTTTAAGTCTAAGAGTTTAAAAATGGAGCCTTAATTAAAGTAATAAATTATGCTATGACAATAACAAGATTTTTTAAAAAGACTATATACACATGAATATAAATAAACATCAACGTAAACAAACAAATTAAATTAAATAAAAATAAAATTTAAATACAAAAGTCATCTAATATTATTGAAGAAACAACAAATTTACACACTATAGAAGCTTGATTTATTTATTTGTTAAATGATTTCTATTTATATTTTAACATCCAATATCTAATCATTAGATTCTAATAATCTAAGTTTGACTTTTTAACTTGAAAAATAAAATATATACAACTTTAATAAGACATCTAGTGCCATTATATTAAAAAGAATATTGATAAATATTTTTCAATATGTTAATACATTTTAGATAATTATGTATAATTTTTTTCAAAGGATATGATTCTAATTTTTCATTCTTTTTTTAATTCCTTGAGAATAGAATATGACCTAGTTGGTAGTATGACCACATGTAGTTATACAATGCTTAAGTTTGAGAACTATGTAGACCAATGATATTACTGAGTTTTGAATCTTTTTTTAAAGTTTACCACTAAAAATCAAATCAAACTTTTACATTATTTGTTTAATAATTTATTTGATGTGCCAACTTTTTAGGATTTCAATCTAACAAGAAAAATTTAACATCCCTAGGGACATTCATCCAAAGGACATTCATCCAAAGGACATCAGCACTGGTTCAAGGCGAGGGGTTGTCCTGTCTCACCCAATTCTCGAACAACTTTAACGGGGGATCCGGCAATAGAAGGAGGCGGATTCAATGATATGAAAGGCGGGGGGGGGGGTGTATTAATGTTATTCGAAAGTCATTGGCTTTCAAATCAAATAAAGCGTATGGAACCATGCGAGAAAAAGTAACTGTGGGGTGGGAAAAGGCAAAAGAAAAGGTGGATGGCTCCGCCTGGGACTGACACTGGTTCACCCTGGAGTGCAAGGAGCCAAAAACAGGAACCCAGCCCAGGGAAGCGCAAAAATAGAAAACAATCATATTAAAAAACACACTCTCACACTCTCTCACAAACAAAGGCAAAAAGTGGGTGGGGGCGTCCCGCGTCGCGGACGGCGCAGCGTTCCTCGTGAATCTGGAGGCGAGGATCGAAGTCGTAGCTTCCAGTCTAGACTCTAGACGATGCGGCAGTCGTAGCGTTGTAGAGTAGTAGGGTGGTCAATGGCACAAGCACTGGATGGATGGAAGCAAGCAAGCAAGCAAGGCAGAGGAGGAGGAGGAGGATGACGACGACGATGCATTACACCGTCGCCATTTTGCTTTATAAAGCATGCGTCTCGACAACCCGCATTCCTCACTCAATCGCCGCATTATTTCTCACCGTCTCCACAGTTTCTCCTCCTCCAAGTCCCCCCACTGTCACCTCCGCTTCTCTCTGGTCCTGCCCACCAACACTATCTCTTGCTCCCCCGCCCCGACTTTCGCTTGCAGTCCTTTGTTTCCAGCTCTTGAGCCCCAGCTGTGAATTGCATTAAGTGTGTTGGTTTCAGGACTGGAGCTGCTGCGTGCTTTGTCTGGGTCCAGGTGTCTCGTGTAGCACGTCGATCGTGTAGTGGGGGAGTTGTGGGATTCAATACCTTGGTCGCGGTTGATGTTGGAATCGTTCTTAAGGGGACTGTGTTCAACGTTGGAGTTGTGAGTGGGGGAAGAATTGTGTGTTACGTGTGGGTGTAGTTTGTTTCGTTGCGTAGATTGACTGCGTTGTTGACGGTTGCTGAATTCAAGGCAGGATAAGGTGTGTACATTGTGCTCACCCAGGTCGTGAAGAAGAAGAAGAAGAAGAAGAAGAAGCAGAAGTAGTGGCAGAGGGAGAAGAAGAAGAAGGTTTGCTTCAGATTTGTTATGGGAGACAGATTGCAGGTGTGACGTGTCGCGAGGAGGTTTGAATTCCGAGACTGCGTAATTTTGCTGCTGAGGTTGCATCTCTGAGTGCAAGTGCAATCGTGAATGGCTTACTGCTTGTGAGCAATCTTTCATTTTGTGTTTGGGAGGACGTGAGTGACACGGCCTGGGAATGCTGCTGGGCGGATTGTTCTCCCCCTCGCTTTCAATTCGATGGTCCAAGTAGTCCTGGCAGGGAATTGATTGAACTCGTCCACTGCTCTGGTACTCGGCTCTATTCACTGAACGCTCGCGAGAGGTGTGGTGATTTTAGATACGGACTTTGATACCTACAGCGAACGTCACGATGCCTGGTAAGTTCGAATTTTGCGTGAATCCAACCGCTTTCGTGTCAATCCACTGATGATGCTTATGATGGTAGGTATTATGTAGAATGTAGTTGCTCATCCGGACCGTGGTTTGTGGTTGCAGGATTACTGGACGTCAACCTTTCAAGTCTTTCTCTGACCAGTGATACACATCAGAAGCAAGTATGGATGGATCCGGAGCTCTGGGGCGCTCTACCAGAGCCCCTCGTGGAGATCATTCTTTCGCACATACCCTTGCCTTATCTCCTTCCAATGCGAGCAGTCTGCAAGAAGTGGTACTTCCTGCTGCACACGAGCTCCTTCCTGTCGTTGCAAAGACAGCGTACCGTGCAGTGCACCTCATACGTTCTTACGGTAAATGAGCCTGCATTCTCGGCCTTCTCCTTTTTCCAGCAAGGCCCAGAGCTGTATTACCTCCGCAATAGCTCCCTTTACTGCCCCATCTCCAAGAATTGGTTCAACATGTCGCTAGATTGCATCCCGTTTCGTGATTTCTACATCACATCCGTCGGTGGGGGATTGCTGTGCTTCATAGCCTACAAAAACAATACATCCTCCACCAATCGGGAGGTAGTGGTGGGAGTTTGCAATCCCGCTACTCGCTCTTGGAGGCTGCTTCCCTGCTGGGAAGAAACTAAGGCGTATACTTTGCCGCAATTTGTAGCTATGGTTGTGGACAATTTCAACAGAAGCTACAAAGTTGTTCTCGTTGATCACGATAGAAGAGTTACGCGCTTGTACAACTCGCAGTCTATGGCGTGGACGGAATTCGATGATGTGCCAGCCCGCCATAATTTCCCATACTACGACAGATGCCCCAGCCAGGCGGTGGTGAAAGGCAGCAAGCTGGTGTGCACCACGCAGTGCAAGACGGGGATCTCCACTTTCGACATGAACACCGGCCTGTGGGAATCGTATCACGTCTTCCTGCCCGGTATGCACAGTAGCGTGCACCTTGTGCAGCACCATGGCCGCATTCTCATGATCAGCAGAGTGATGAAGGCCAAGTACGAGGGATCTGACCGAGTTCAGATATCCGAACTCGACCCCAAGGGACTGCGAGTCACGATATCTCTGGACGACGTCCCGCTCGGTCCTTCTAAGCAATTCCTCGACCACTTCAAGGTCTGCACATACAGCAGCTATGATGAATCCGAGGGTTTGTGTTTCATCTCTACCACGACGGGCGAGCGGTGGTTGTATGACATAGAAGAACAGTTCTGGCACATTTTGCCGAGCAGCCCGGGAAGCAAGACGAAAAGCATGGCGGCTTACGGAGGCTTTTCGGTCCATTTAAGAGTAGATATCCAGCCTTAGCTAGTGATGATTCGGGGGCGTTTGGTAAAGCAGACAGATCGTAGCATAATCTACTTGTACAAAATTCACAATAGGTGTGGCCCGGGGTGCAAGAATTTTAGGGTTTGCATCTTCCGAGATCGAACTGGCCGCATACACGCTAGGTTCCAATGGTGTCGTCGATGTTTCGATCGATTGATGTGATTTGCTTCATTAGTAGAAAAGGTGGCTAGCAATCCTTCCAGCCACCTTCTCTTCTGGTGGTGCCGCTTCTTTGACTAGAGTAGGCTACCTGTACAAATTGTGAAGTCTTTCTTTATCACAAGATTTCTTCTCTCTATATATATGAACACAAATTCAATCAAACTATCTACGACTTGGTTCTTATCCGACATTGTCCATTCAGTACACCCCTTCGCTGCAATCATTGATTTTCGCTCACTGACCACATGGACAGGTGGTAAACTTCAATTGCTGATACGATCAACGTTAGATCTCTGTACAACGTAATACAACAGTGCGCTTGATGACCCCACACATGAATGGAGAACGGCAACAGTGATCCACCAGCAGTGTGGTCACACCCCACGCACCCTGATTTCTCGTCGCTGACGCCGAAATACTCGTTCTCTTAACAGTTTTGCCATTTCGATACGAAAGGTTGCAGAGATATTAGCCGATGTGCATACTATTCCTATACATAAGAGGTTAGCACATGAGGATTGAGCTTGTGGCAACTGTAGGTGGGGTCTCAAAAGATGTGCAGTCGCGGCATTCTGATTCCTAAGCGACATTTGTATCCTCAAGAACTTGTCAATTGTGAAACTGGATACTTAATGTCAGTTTCACGGAGTCCTAGACCCTTGATGTTGCTGGATGTTCCCCATTTGGGGACATACAACAGACAAGAGCTTGTTTGTGTTCGCCGATCAAGAGGTCCACCATCGACTCCCGACGATCATATCAATAATTAACCAAAAAGCCATGAAGAGTGGTTAGAAGTGTGTCACCTTTAAAGGCACATTTTGATGAGCGGGTATAGTTACATGAAGGATGCTAACATTGAGATCTCTGGTTACCCGCTTTTGAGAAACTCCAACTCCGAGGGATGTGCAAGTAAAATAAGGAAAAGGCGAGTTTAAGGTACATGTACCCAAGGAATGAATGGATGAGGAGTTTCGGGTGGTTTAGTGGAGGGACAGGGGCATAACGTGAGGTGAGGTGAAGGCATCAAACTGGTAGTCTAAGTAGATGATGCCCTCGGTAATTAATACAAACTTTTCTAGTGCATTTCACATTCAGGCAATCCAGTTTTGATTCATGACATAGCGGTTAAAATTTTAGAATTGAGAACTATTTGTTTCGAATTAAAACGAGAAAAAAACATGAACGGAAAGATATCCAACTCAAAACCTGAATCTGTAATGAACAGTTCTTCAGAGATACACGGATTTTGAGATGGTTTCTGCTCAAATCACGGCTCCAGAGTGCCAAACTAAAAGTAAAGATCAGTACATGCAAAGGACAAAACAGAAAAAAGAAAATTTAAGTAAAACGACCGTTTGTTTCTCTTTTAGATTGAAGTAAAGCATCTTACAACTGCACCAAAGCTTCGAGTAAACCTACTGAAGAGATGGGCGAGACTGCATAGTTGGTAGAGTACCAGTTGGTGCCGAAACAGGTACATGAGCATGGTCTAAGATCCTGACTAACAGTCTGCTAACAATCAAAATAACAGTATCTTCCATTAATGTTTGCTCAACTCCCTGGCTAAAGATGTGTGGATAACAGAGGTTTGTCCAAGTTGCATCCTCAGAGCAGTCTTCAAGGCCAAGCTTGATAACATCCATGGCCTACCACTTTGCATCTGCTTACGCGAGTTCTGCTCTTGGTGCTCGTGTGTTGGTTTGTATGCGTGCATGAGACGAAATCTCAATACTACAGCGCTTTTGAAAGAACGTAGAAGCAAGCTTCATGATGTCCCAAAACGTGATCACCAAGCTAACATGAAAGTAAAATTTGGTTCAGAACACAGTTAACACTTAAAACACAGTAATGCAAAGACTTTAAGACCTCAAGACAGAGCAACTCCGGAGCAGAAAAAGGCCAGAATCTCCCCAAATGTTCACTAGTACATATGGGGTACTACATACCAGTAAAGGCTAGATAATCTGATCAACTTTTGAGGTCAAACAGGAGATTTATTATGATACTAACCTGAGCGCTACACCAAGTTGCTTCCTTGCAAAGTTCGAGAAGCTCCTGACCAGCTTGTAGATGTACTGGAAGGGGCAGCGCCAACGCTTGGCATATCTAGATCTGCCACAGAGTCAACTTCCAAGTATGGCAACTGAAATGACGTAGTCCGGCTTAGACTCCACACGAATCCGAGTGCAATCCAAAAGGTGAGAGTAGCTGCCCAGTAGATTGTCATCCCTTGTACTACGCCCCAACCAATAAGATAACCAACTAGTATTCCTGCCAAGTGCCCCAGGAAACTGGCCTGCGGTACAATGATGGATGTAAAGATGAGCGACTCAAATGGTGCGAGGCTGATTGGGAGCGATAGAAGCCCAAACAAGTTCAGCTTCAGAGATGGCTGCCTCACAGCAAGGATGGTCATCCACCCAAACACAACACATGAGTATCCGACTGCAGTTACCCGCCTGTAATACTCTAACTTCGCTCGAGTAATGAGCACATGGTACATGCCTAGTACCATCAATCCCGAAAGAAGAACCAGAATTGTTGTGTACTGAATGTAGTAAGCGGTTCCTAGGTTATAGTCATTGAAACTCTCGACAACTCCTAGGCTCCAGAGAGCACTCATATTAAAAACCAAGTGAAGGAAGCTAATGTGAGAGAAAGCAGACGTGATGAACCGCCAATATTGCCCCTGAGAAATTACAGATTCGTAACTAAGACCGACGTCACTATAACCCACGTTTCGTTGTTGAATATATAACCAAGTTGCAGAGCATATAGCGATAACGCAAGTGCTTGCTGGCCTGTCGAGGATATCATAAATCAAAGGTCGCCCCATAGTGCCAAACCCTTGTTTCTTCCTTTCGCCAGCAATTTCTGGTTTTCTACATTCTACGCTGATTTGGAAATACCTTCAGATCCCAATAAAAAAATCTCCATGATATCATATTGCATTAGCAACATCTTGGGCCCTTCCCAGTTTCCAACGGCGGGACGGCGCCACAGCTTCTTGCTCGCGGCCTATTTCATACCGCCATCCGCAACCAACAAGACATTTCAATAGCGAATCCAGGCGTTTACCCATCACTCATAACTCACATGCATTCCGATCACCTAATCTACAAAACGGAAAACAATGCATTCAATTCAAGAGCTTAAAAGATTCCTTCAAAATAAACTGTTCATTGTACAAATGTACATAGAGAGCGAAACGCAAACCGCAATATTAGACACGATCATTTTCAAAACCTAATTCAGAGAGGAAAACTTCTGCAAGATGAATACTGAAAACATTAATCACTGGCAAAGGATGAAGTGCTCGAGTTCCAAAAACCCACAGAGAAATAATATGTTCCTGATTATACAAACCAAAAACTACAGGCGATAACAAAAGAGAACTTACCTAGACCAATTCGCCTCCACAATGCATTCACTGATCCCCGACCAAGCCCCGTTGGCAAAGAAAACTCTGCTCCGTCGAAAATCTACCCACGCGGAAACTCTCCAGCGACAGCAACTATCGATTATCTCCCATTAACCCTCCCATTTCATACCCCAAATCACATGCTACAAGGCTTCATAGCCCATCAACACCACCTCACATTCCTTCATCACCCGACGCTCAGCTACGAAAGTTGTTCCTAAATCGACAAAACTTAACTATTCATAAAACCCTAAAATCGACCTTGAAGCTGCACAACTGTAATGAAAACCTTGATCGTCAGTTGCATGGGTACAGTGAAAATCAACTTGTCAGGGATCCTCACGAGAAAAACATGAAAATCTAATCTCGATCTAGTACCTATTGGCCCCAAACTCTAAATTCAACAACAATTACTCCTCGCCACGTTTGTTGAATCTCGGAACTGGAACTCGCAAGCTCAAGCAGATGAAACCACATGACGACGTCAGCCAAGCGGCAACGACCGACTGACTGTGTGGTGTTCAGTCGTCCGGTTCCGGAGGGGAAGGGAGCGTGGGAACGAGCGTGGCGCACAGCAACCAAGCGGGATGGCAACACAATGGCTAGGCAAGGCAAACCATCGAGTCAGAGCAGTTGTGCGCACGCTTCCAAGCTCCATCGTCTTCTCACCTTCTCGCCTTCTCGCTCCATCTGCACCTCCATCTTGCAGCGCGGTCGGCGATCCATTCTCTGTAAGTTGAACTCTGCCTGTGCATCTCTCTCCCGACGCCGACATCCTAGGATGTGAGATTTTCGCGTTCTGGGACGTTGTGCACATTTCATCGTCGCGTTTGGGAGGCTGTTTGTGCATGCCCAACGGATCCCACCGTGTATATGAGACGTATGTTGAGACATGTGTTGAGATGCAGGAAACCAAGAAGTTCGAGTGGATGAGTACAATTCGAAGGCTGAGGTTTAGGTTTATGTCAAGGATAAGGGTCAGCGGTGCGCTGTAGGATTTCGGAATGAAAGGGAGAGATGATTGACGTAGTGGGTCTTAACTGCGGTTATCTTTGGTGGCTTTGTAGTTTTCCGAGTTGGAAGAGGTTTGTCGGGGACAGATCTTTCACGCTCCAAATCGTTGTTTTGACCCATAGTCAAATGCTATTTTGGAGACTCCGTCGAGCACCTGTACGTGGTGTGGGTTAGGTTTTATTGGAGCCGAGGTTTGGTAAAATGATATTTCGTGGATGCGCACGGAAACATTTTCAAAATCAGTAGGGGTAAACATTGAGTGAGGCAGTGGCTGGTCTAATTAGGTTAGAAGTGTGGGCAGTTTCAAACTCTGCGTCACATTTCAGGCTCTATTTTTCCAGGAGTTCACTACCTGCTTAGCTTGAACAGCACTTGCCATCTGCATAAGTATCCTAAATCTTTTTCGGACACAGATGCATGTTTGCAAATGCTGTTCATACAAGCATTGAAGAGGGTCTTCGGCTTTTTCGCCGGTGGACCCAAACGATGGCGGATTGTTGTTATCAGCTCGCTTATTGCATGCAAAAGCATTTAGCGAATTGTTACACTTTATGGTTTACAGGCTCTTGAGCTTGGGGATGGTTTTATCTAGCTGAATATGTAATCTTGCTCTACTTCAAAACGCCCGAACATACTCTTTTTTTGAGCAATTCTCTTTATCAAAATATTGGTATTATATGGCGTTATTTAAAAAACCTCAGTTATATTTTACTTTATTTTGTGCAGTGTTAGCAGATTGGTAGTTGCAACTGCAATGCTGGAACAATCAAGAGACGAGGCAGTTGGCCTGATGGAAGCAGACTTTAGTATTATGGAGCAGCAGCCATCCCCTCCTTCGCAAGGGGATTGTTTTCCCGAACCTGTAAATTTACCCAAAGCCCGCGTTGGGGCGTCAACCAATGATCAACGGTTTCTACTGGTTTTTATTCTGGGAACTTATTTTGGCCCTGATTTGCGAGAGGAGATTCCGCGTAAATCGGCTCTGCAGCGAACATACATGGGGCTGCCTCCATATTCAGCTGACGAACTCGGGGGCTCCGTCTTCAAGTTGTCGGAAATAGAGAGCATCTATTATTTTGCGCTTAGGTATGCATCGTTCACACACACTGTTTTGACTTGAGCAAGGCTTGCTACACTTCGGTGTAGTAGCTGGATTCTACTTTTAATTTAACTACTGTTTGTGGTTATATTATTTCTTGATGTTTCGTTGTGATAGATAGCCTATACTTGCCGTCTTACTACACGAAGAATATCAGCAACATTCTTTCTGTCTGCACTACAAACTGGTCAATATGCATCTATCAATGGGAACTGATGTGGTCTACGCCTTGCGGTGAAACCATGGATGCAAGATTATGATTAGTCCTTGTTGCTAGAAATTTTTCTTGTCCCTTCTAACCTATTTCTTGGATCTTTAGGAACTCACACCCCAGTGCGCGAGTCAAACTGCAATCACTCTACAAGTTTCTGCAAGGTCACCTTGCGCCTCCTGTCAAGGAAAATCTAGAGGACGTGCGCCAATTCACAGCTTTCTTCCCTCCCCATTTGCATCGTCAATCTCGTTACAAGGGGACTTACAAGGTTATTGAGAGTATGGTATTTATTGACGACCCCGACATCACATATATGAAAGTGGAGGACGTTGAGCGTTTCAAGCGCCTTAGTGGGCTTTCCGAACTAACACTTGACAGAGAAGAGGCACGGAACTACCAACACGGACAACGGAATGATCGAGATGATGAGAGGCAGGTAATGTTCAAAGCTTCTGTTACACCAGCTCATATGATTTTCTTGCAATGTAAGACAGAATCCAGTTTACGGAAGTTTATCCGAATATTTACCCAGGTTTGAAAGTTCTTTGTAACATGCCTAATGTAACAAACGATTTCTGTGACTGACAGGCACGTTTTCAAGCCATGGCAGTAGCTCATGGTCATGTGGCGGAGACGGGCGCCCGGGCACACCCTCTGGTGATCATGGATGCATCTCTCGATAAGAGGAAAAGGAGGAAACGTGAATCACAGTTAGATGTTCTCTCCCTTCCATCTCCTTTACCCGGACCGCAAAAGGAAGAGAAAGCAGACTGGGCTCCGAATAGCAAATTAGGGGCTGCTATGCTGCTGCTTCCCTCTTTACCGAGCTTGGAACAATGGAATTCAGTAATCAATACATCGAAGCCTGTGATTACCTTCACAGGAACTGCCGCAGCTCGCAATGCGGGTCCTTTGATCGGTCTCGTGGACATTGGTATAAGTGACGATGCATATTTATTCCGAACTGCTTTACCTGGTGTCAGGAAGGAAGAAGGTACGTGTAAGGCTCCCTAGACCTCTCCGATTATTCTCACCAAGTACGGTATACGGTTGTTATGTACGTGCTTATATTGTTTTAAAATCCTTAGTGAGCTACATCATAGTGCCACACTTCGATGAAGATGATGGATTAGTATACTCTTCAGTGTTAAGTATGGGGGACACGTATAACATAGACGAGTGCAATGACTTATGGGGGAACGTGAATGTGCAGGTGAATTCAAATGCGAGGTGGAGTGCGACGGCAAAGTGATGATTAAGGGCACTACAACTACAGGAGAGGCTCGTATAGTCAGGAACAATGCAATCTTCGTCATGCAAACTCAATACTTATGTCCTCCTGGTCCCTTCACTGTCTCGTTCTCTTTACCAGGTCCTGTAGAACCCAATCAATTCACTGGTACCTTTGGTTCTGATGGTATTTTAGAAGGTATAGTCATGAAACAGCGGCACAGAAGTGGTGCAGCGGCCTTGCTTTTCGAGTCTTGAGTATACACTTCAAGGAAATTTGTTTGAAAATCAAGACGATTGAATGTTTCTCAAGGGGATTGTCAAGCAGAAAGCATCTAGGTTCCATGACTTGAAGAGACTACCGTGTAGTCCGACCTTGCTTCCTGCCGCATCCTTGTGCCTTCAAATCTTCATCAGCGGTGGATTGCTGTCTAGATAGCATGCCCAGAAAGCGCTGTTCAGAAACAGTCTTTATTTGTATAGAGCCTTAGCTTCAAGCTTTGTTGCGTCATGGATCTAAAATGTTTTCCTGGGACAAAGCGAGATGCCTCTCAGAATCAGGATTTAGTGCTGGACACTCTTGTGTACATCGTGGGGGTTTGTATGAAATGAAGTTCAGATGTAATATAATTTGGTCTTCTTTGTGGGATGTTGATAAAAGACGAAGATTGCATTGTTCCTGACTATACGAGCCTCTCCTGTAGTTGTAGCGCCCTTAATCATCACCTTGCCGTCACACTCCACCTCGCATTTGAATTCACCTGCTTATTCTCGTTCCCCCATAAGTCCGAGTTTGATTTTGTTTTCTTTACTGCCATTCAATTCGATTAGATATGTTCAGAAAGTGTTACTTTTTTCTATCATTTGTCAAATTGTTCAGTTATTTATAGCGATTTGCACGTGATCTACAACGTCCACTTTTAACCTTGCTAAATTTGAATGCTCAAAATTCTACTTTATGATGTAATATTTTATGAGGTAGGTGGAATTCACTTCTTAAAGATGACTTGTTTCATGAAAATAAATTGGTGGTTGAAAGCCTTGCCACTCTGTTATTTTACATCGTAAGATAAGGTGGAAATTTAGGGACTTATATTTAATTACATTTTAAAATGACTTTAGGTTGTCAATTTGTAAATTTTTAAAAGTTTTTTTTTGTTTTTTTGTCATACACAAAAGCCTTAAATGTACACGATACTTATGCTTCCAGGAAGAATTTTTACAACTCAAAAAATTTACTCATTAGTTTTTTTCTCTAACACAAATATTTTATAAACAAGGATTCAAAATTGATTCAAAATTCAAACTTTCAAAAGTATGAAATATCCTCTTTTTGTATTGATTCATCTCCATGTTAGTTTTTTTACAAAATCAGGGATAATATATATCACATTGTTGTATCTTGCATTTCATAAATACAAGTAACCTGAGTATATAAATGCTATTTGAGTAAATTGGTGAGAAACAAAGAAAAAAAACAAAAAAAAAACAAAAAAAAAACAAACAAAAAAAACAAACAAACAAACAAATAAAACAAACAAATAAACAAACAAAGTATAAACCAAATTAAGTCTAAGTTTGGATTCTAATTACGATCTATGTTGAATGTTTATTTTAACTTAATTTCAATAGTTATTAACAAAGATAACCACAAATATTATTGCTATCTTTATTGTGTACAATCTAAAGTCAGATTTTGAGTTCTTTGTATGAGAAACAATCTTGTTCTGGTATATTTTGATTTTGGATGTTATTAGAATATTTAGATTCTTTAATTGTAATACACACTTATAAGCAAGCATGCACTTTTCTATACCATGTGATAACAAAAATAATGGCACTTGAATGCTTTATCTATATAATATTCTTTATTCTTTTTTAATTCTATACATTAGTAATGGAGATACTTTTAAATTTTAATACAAAGAAAAAATCAATAGCAATAAAATTAGTTAAAATATGATTATTTATTTTAAAATATTTTTTTAATAATAGATATTATTGAAACTTACATATAATATCTTCTAAAATCATAAGTAAATTTTAGAAGAAATCAATATTTATAAATAAGTAAAAATTCTTTCATAAAAATATTTATTTTTATATTAAAAAATTATACATGAAAAAATGATACAATTGAAAATTATTATCAAATCTATATGTATGTAGGTGTGTATATGTTAAATCAAAGGTTATTAAAATTTAAGTGGATTAAGATATCAAAAATTAAATTTTGAAGGTTATTGAGACTTTCTATGATTTTGAGTATTTTGTTAGTTAGATTGAAATGATGTTTTTTCAAGCTAATAATTGATTTAATTTCTAGCATTTATACAAAATTTTAGAGTAAGTGATTAATTGACAAGTACATGAATTTTAAAGGAAGAAAATTCAATATACTCTTGTATTACTTGAAAAGACTAGAAAGTTAGTCAAAGATGATAATATATTAAACTAGAATGGCTATTACCAAAGACAAGAAGACTAGAATGTCTTGAAACAAAACTAAAGACAACAAAGACATTGACAAGAATGAAGAAGGCTTCATTATTGCCTCTATAAATACTATCTAACTAAAAGCTACATGATGATGTTCTATATGACCTTTGACTCATGTCTAAATTACAAGATATATGTCTTAACTTGCATGGCAAGTTTTGTATATATGTGTGACATAGTTAATTGTTCTACAAACTTCTAATATGTGTGACACATGGCTAATTTGTTGACCAAGTTTCGAACTTATCAATTAACAACAAACATGTTTAAAGTCAAAGCAATGTCTATAAAGCTTCTAGGAAATTTTTTTACAAAATATTATGAAATAAATTTATTTTTATTTACTTCTATTTAATCATATAGGTAATTATTAGAATAATTATGTATGTTTGTGACATTATCCTTCTTTTAGGAATAACTTCCACAAGAAGCAATCATATATTGAAGAAATCTAAGATACGACAAATTATGTTTGCCACACACTTTGATCTTTGTTCTCTTTGAAGATGGTTGATAGGACCTCTTAGCTATTCATAGTGTCCCATACTAAGGCAAAAAGACCACCTTGTTATTTAATTATTGTTGAGGTTTTCATAACTCTTTTCAAATAAAACATTTAAAATACAATCAAGAGTCATTCTTACTTCTAATAAAAATACCAAACATTAAGAATCTCTTCCAATGTTGTGATATTAAATATATTGTATCTTGCCATTTATTCAAGAAAGGATATGTGTTTTTTGAGGATCTTCATCTCAATTACACCGTCTTGAAAGTTGTGAAAATCATAATGCTTTGTCTGATAAGTTAACAAACAATAGCTATTAAATTGAATTTGCTAGTTGTTGGTTTTTCATCTTTTAAGCACCACAAATACATTAAAGCTACAAACAAGGGTAGAAGGTAGAATGTTATTTTTTTTTGATCTTCTTTCTTTTATAGCAAAGATTTGTTTTTTTATTTTTTCATCTTAATTTTGATGGATGTTGTCAATAAAAAGCCTCAACCTTTTTTGTTGTATTTGTAATATTTTTTGCTAGCTCTCATGTGCATTTACTAATATCATATCCATATCAATGAACAAGATATTTTTTATCTATTTTGGCATTGTTTAAAATCCAAACTCTTTTAATCTTGAATTCTTGATTGTTATCTACTTTTATAAGAAGAAGTGACATTTGTCTTCTTTTTGAGATATTCACAATTTTATATGGCTGAAGAAGAGATGTGTAGAATATAAGATGAATCTTCATAGACTCCAATAAATATAATCAATAAGCAAAAAAATTAACTTGTTTATAAATAAGAAAGGGTCCAAGCTTGAGATAGTCCCAACTTGTTACAAAGATGGATAGTCTTGCTATTGCAACAAAATAACCATATCTTATTATCTTCATTGAATTTTAGTTATTCTTTGCAATAGGCACTTGCATTCATATTTTATCATTCTTGAGCTTTTTTTAACTACGCCTTCATTGTTGCATGTAGCTTTAATAAATAATTTGCTAAATCTTCTACTACAAGTTTATCAAATTTTAAAAAGTCAAAAAATATTAAGTTGTGGATAATAACCATAATTAGCAAAGAAAGGTATTTTTTGAGTAGAAGAATGTATCAAATTATTGTATGCAAATTCTGTCAATGGCAAAGGAATTGTCCAATCATCTTGATGATAGTTGATTATATACCTCAAATATTGCTCTAGAATTTAATTCACTTGTTTTGTTTGTCCATTGGTTTGAGGATGAAAGGCCAAAGATAGTTTTATATCCATCTTCAATACCTTAAAAAAGATTCTCCAAAATCTTGATATAAATTGTATCATTCTATTTAATATAATATCTTTTGATAATCCATGATAATAATAGATATTGTTAAAAAAAACTTAGCTATTGTTTCACCTAAAATAAATTTTATACATGATTCAAATTGTGTTATTTTGATGAAGCAATCTACAATCACAAATATAAAATCATATGAACTTGAACTTAAAAGATTCATAATAAAATCCGTAGAAATAAAAGACCATAGTTGTTTTAATATAGGCAATGGTTGAAGAAGTCTATAGGTTTGATGATAAAGAGCTTTTGATCTTGAAAAAATATGACATGATTGTACAAAATCTTTCATAATCTTTTACATTTTCAGCCATTAAAAATCTCTAGATATAAGTTTTAAGGACTTGTTGTATCCAAAATGTCATGACGTTGGAAAGTTGTGATGTGCTTGAAGATCATGTAAATATGCTTCTTCTTTTAGAACATATAGATGACCTTCAAAATAGAATAGGTTGTTCTTGAACTTGAACTTAGAAGTATCATGAGACTTAAAAGAAGTATTATTGATATTATTAACAAGAGGATCAAAGGACATACTTAATTGAATTTGTTTGACAAAAACTGAATTAACAATCAATGTTGACCTGCTAAAATTCAAAACTCACACTAATATCAAATATTTGAAGTTTTTTTGATTTATGTATATAGTGACTGGATTAAAAATGCCTTCTAAATAATGACATCACTCTTAAAAAGAATCCATAATTGTAAAAACTTTTTTATTGTAGATTTTGTAGTTGATCTTTGTTGTTGAAAATTTCTTGGAATAAAAGTTATTCAATGGAGTTTTTCATTTGCTCATATTTGTGACAATGTTTCACCAAAGGCAAAGTCTAATACATGCATTTTTATAAAAAAATGTCTTAAAAAAATTGACGCAATATAAAAGTGGTGCAAAAATAAATTCGTTCATAAAAACATCATATAATACTTTGATTTATTTACACTATTCAAGTTTGTCTTTACAAATCAAATATGTATGTGGAGCTATAACTTTAAAAAAGTTCTTAATAAAGATTCGATAGTAATTGGCAAAGTCCAAAAGCATTGTATATAACTTATTATTTTTAAAATCTTTCAATCTATCATAGCTTGGATCTTCTTTGAATCCATCCTTAGTCCTTTATTGGAAATAATTTATTATAAAAAATCAACTTGAGTAGTGTGGAATATATACTTTTCCATCTTGGCATATAATCTTGCATCTCTAAGTATTTGTAACAAATAGAAAGCATAAAATTCATATTTTTATATATTTTTAGAATAGATTAGAATATTATTTAAATTACAAACAATAAAAAACTTTAAGAAAATCACAAAAAATACTACTTATAAGATGTTAAAAATCAACTAGTATATTTGTGAATCCAAAAGACATGACATTATATTCAAAATTTCCATACTTAGTTCAAAAAGTAGTTTTCCATTCATCTCTTTTTTTGATGTAGACCAAATTGTATGCTCTTTGTAGATCTATTTTTGTGTAAATATTTGCTTGATTGAATTGAAAAAG